GTGACTCAAGTCGTGTCACCTGTCGCGTTCCGATTGGACCTCCCCAAGTCTTGGAAGGTACACCCAGTGTTCCACGGGTCTCGGATCTCTCCCTTCGTCGAAAACGAGACATATGGGACTGCGCCCGCAGCCCCCTTGCCCGAGTTAGTAGATGATGAAATTGAATGGGAGGTCGAATCAATTCTAAATCACAAGATTGATGGGCGTCGTGGGAAGCGCAAGTACCTGGTCAAGTGGAAAGGGTTCCCCCATTCGTCAAATATGTGGGAACCCGAAGAGAATATAAAAGAACACGCAGAAGAAGTACTTGACCAGTACAAACTTGCCCGACATCTCAAAAGTTAAATGGACTCCCCACGCTCTGTAAACACCGAAAATGACTACACTGACCTCCTTCCCGCAGAATCCCTTTATGACGCCGACGATGACGGGCTCATTCCCCCCGTCGCCTCATATGCCCCAACCTCTCCCCTGCATTCCCCCGCCGGCTTTTATGTCTCCGGCTTCTCCTCGCCCATGTCCCAGCCCTGTTCATTATTGCCCGCTCCCTCCCGAACTTGCGGCCCACTCCCACTCCAGGGGGTCACAATCAAGCGCGTGCCCGCCCCAAAGGCCAGAGTCTCCCTCAGTAGAGACAGTAACCAGAAGGGAAAGGGTAAAGCGCAGGTTGACGATGACTCCGATAGTGGAACAGCCCAAACCCGCTGCCCCGATGCTTCCGAATCTACCAACGTACGCAGTGCCTTCGCCACCTACACCGGTCGTAGCGACAGTGCAGCGCTCGATGTCCTCGCCTCCGTCGCCGCCCTTGCCGGGTCTGACCAGCAAAGATTACCAGTCCCAGCAAGTGAATACGTGGACATTGTTCGGGCGCTTGACCTCTTCCACGATGGGGACCACATTAACGGGTGCTCACAGGAACAAGATAAGTATTTCGGGCTGTTGTCTGAAATCTACAGAGCATCAGACGTGATAAATGGACTGATCTCGAAGGTCCACACCCGGAAGTTAACAGGAGTGGCGCCCCTGTCGGAGGTAATTATGATCGGGATGTTGGAGAAGGCTTCGGCCGAAATCACGGAGGCTATCATGGGAGGAGCCTATCACCATCTTCGTCATCAACAAATTAATGACTTCCTCGCCCCGCCGGCTTCGCGGGTTCTTGATCGAATTATCCCTAAAGAAGCCCAACCCAAAGAAGTGGTGAAGAAGACAGACTTAGCGGATCAAGAGAAAGAGAAGCAGTGGCACACGATCGAACTCAGCTACGTGGACTCCGGCGAACTGTTTAAAGAGGTTGGTTCTCGTCTCGGGACAGGAACTCATAACTCCTCCTGGGAGGTTTTGTTACAGGATGCTTCGTGGGCTGGGCTTAATAAAAACTACTTCAATGCAGTCCACGCGTCCGACCCTCTCCCTCCGACTCCCTTCGTCCCCATCCCTCTTGATCAACTTTGCTTCTACCTCGGAGGCCAATCCCCTGTTCCTCCCGACCACCCCCTGTACCAGCACACCTGTTTCCAGTGTCGTTACCTGGGACATTGGTCGTGCCATAACGGAAAGGGATCCCGCTTTACTCCGGCCCTCAAGGAGCCGCCATCTCCATCACCATTGTTGCCCATCGCTGCTCAAACGCGTTCCCGCGTTTACACTACTCGCCGACCCTTATCCGCTCGTCTTAGCAACGCCCCATCTGCCGGCCTGTCCTCAAGGGTCTGAGGACCTTAGGGGGGGGGGTAATGATACGCTTTCTTTCCCGGTCTTTCTCTTTTCGGGTTGTTACGGTCACGTGCATCACGTGCCTTGTCGCATCGCTGGTAGTCGTGGCTGTCCTAGGGGTACGTATGCTGAGGGGAGAACTCGGATCACCCGCTGTCCAGGTATTTCCAATACCTGTCAAGACTCATCACTTGTGATCCGTAACGTTCACCGCTCTCGTACCTGTTCCTCCCGTGTTCCATCTGTTTCCCCTGACTTGTTCTGACTCGTTTATATTGCCTACATGTTGTACTATAGCTCCGGTGTCTGGCTCCTCGCTGCGCATTGATTGCGCAGCCAGTATAGCCATCGTTTCCCCTTCTACCCCATCACTGACACTGTATGACTCTTATTTATTTCAGTGATTAGTTTGTTGATTACTGTGGATACGCGTCGCGATGCGTCTGTCGCGACTGGTAGGGTACTCGTACTTAGGGGTATTTAAGCCCACGTACTTTACCATGTATCCTCAGTTTTTCGATAGCTTGCAACTGAGCTAATTACTTCGCTCTCATCCTTGTTCTCTCTCCACGCGAACAACCTTAGGGACTCACCAGCAGACAGAACCTCTGTCGGATAATTGCGATAACTCAGCCATAGGGGTTATGACAAGTTCGGCCTGTAGACTCCCACCTCGCATGCTTCGTGCCTATTCCATTTGAAGAAGTCACCACGCTCGGGCATAACACATCTCTATCCATGGGGTGCCTGAAATGTGGTGCCATCCATCCATGGGCACGATCAAAGCTGGACCCTCATCCACTGAGTGGTTATCACCCAAAGACTCGAGTGTCCACATGCCACAAGTGCACCTTTGAAGTGCATACTCAGCCTCTACCGGTTGAATACAATGTGCTCCATGGCAACCCTACATCTGGGTGGCTCAAATACACCATTTGCACTGCAGTGCCACTGTGATTTCGTGCGTTTGTCTGTCATTTATACACTTGATACTTCCAAAGTAATGTAATACCACGCCTGCATGCAATCTCACTTTATTGGTTTGACAACTTGGTGTGAGTAAACAAGGTGACAATGTCATGTACTAAATATCAGTGCCGGTAAACTTCAAGTACTGAAAGTCAGTGCCTAAAAAAATGTGGTACTGAAAATCAGTGCCAACAAACTCGGGGCACTGGTTTTCAGTGTTGCAAAATATGTGGTACCAGGAATCAGTGCCAGCAACTGAAATTTAGTGCTCCAAAAAATGCACACTGAAAATCAGTCCCGCGAAGACGACACTGAAAAGAAGTGCTCACTAGATCAGTGCCAGTGGTACTGATTTTGCTCAAATCAGTACCACTGGCACTGATATTCAGTGTGTTTACTTCCCACAGTGGGGCGCGCGTAAAGAAGTAGAACAATAGACTTGCCCACCGAGAGTCCAAACCGCGTCGACGACACCCAAGCGATAGAACGTCGCGACGGGCAGGGGGGGACGACGGGGAACGGTGGCGAAGTCGAGTGACAACCAACTGGAGTCATTAATACACTCGCCTTCCGGGCAGCATACGCACATACCAAACACTCGCTCACCAGGCTCAAACTTGCTCTGTACTTATTTCTTGTTCAGCATAACAGGAACAGTCAGTGATATTACGACCTGAGCTGGATCACTTTCCGGTCATTCTTTTAGGATATCACAGTGGGGGGACATAGGACATAACTGGCTGTCACGATGTTGCGCAGATTGAGTGAAAAACCTCTTTCTGTCGGGGGAGAGGTTCCACACGGGACGGTCCGGCAACGCCATCCTTCATTTCGATACGCCAATTAGAATATAATATGCCATTAATGTACACAGCTAGAAGCCTTGCAATCATAGATAGATGTGGTAGACGAGTTAAAATACTTGGACATGGAGCAGAATTGTAACTTCTGACTTGTCTGCTACGGTGCGACTTATTGACAGTGTTGGACCGCTCCAAATTGAACTTGGGCGACCGCATTGCATGCACGACTTCACCTGAACTAAAAGTCGCCCTCAGCGCCAGACCTCGACATTACGAAGCCAGAAGAACGTGCCTGCAAGTTTGGGTGCAAGTCGTACTGCTTGCTCCTGCTGTCAGGCCGGACGACGACTTTGAATAACGACACCGATTTCTAGTCCATCCAGGACCGCTTAGTTTGCGAAGACGTCACCAGTTCGGTCGTGTTCTGGGTGTCCACCAGTCTCCTTGATGCAACATAACTACTCCGATAATGAGTTTTGTGCTTCCCGAAGCACTCGCTGGATGGCAACCAACCACGGTGCAAATAGCAGTCTGTTTGAAAACATTACCTTGATAACCACATTTCGGCCTACGTGGCGCTATTGTCGTAGTCGTTCCATCTGAATCTTTGGAACCCCGCAGGATTACCCCACGAGTCTGGGCCTCGTTCCATCCGCCCGCCGAGGTCTACGGCAGACCTTCTAGACCATTCAGGAAGTTGGCGGAGAACCTACCTTCTCTCCATGATGATACGGCATCCACCCCTATTGAGCGGTAAGTGATGATTAATGAGCTTACATGCACGTTGAACGTGCTGCAAAAGACACCAAGATTCAACGCGCAATTAGTGCGCATCGTGGATGACTTTGGCGCCTACGCACCTTATTAGGCTCATGGAAAGACTTTTAGGTACGTTGAACGCCGGCAGTCGCGGATGACCTGGTATTAACTTCCGGAATGTAACTTCATGAGGCACGAACCTCCTGGGACAGCCAACCTTGATGCATGACCAGCTGTCAGTGAATTTTCGTGGGCGCAGGCTGCTGCCTCGAGGCCGCGCTGCCCACACGCACCATTTTCATTTGTCAAATTGGTATCAGACTGTGGGCACAAGTACAGCGCAGCCTTCAAAGAACGGTGGACCCGTGGTCTAATAGGACCCGCTTATAACAAGGTGGGGTTCCCGCTCTGCACCACGAGGTATCGCAACCAAGTAGATAAACTGACTTCAGGACGCTTGGGATGACCTTACAATACTCGCAAGTGTATAAAGTGTATACAGGAAGCTTACAGGTAATCAACCTCGCAAGTGCTTTGGGACTCGGAAGGTACGCATAGTTCGATGACGCGCCGACATATTGAAGCGTAATGGACCTCACAAGTGAACGAGGTCGGCAAACATTTCATTCAATCGTGTTGCTACTTTGAAAACTTCGTCGCGCTTCACGCGATCGAACTCCACTGAACTGTCGCAAATTTTGAATCGAAACACCCGACCCACCTGAACTAAGTTCAGCTGGGCAGCAACCCTATCAGGAGCTACGACTGCCACATTGCAGAGCGCGGCACGTAGAACAAGGAAACATGGTGAGTGATGTGGAGAAGGGGTCCCTGTATTTTGAAATTCATAAAATTCCCGCACGTACCTCCGCTTCCAGCGGCACCGGTGTGATTGCCAAGCTGTGCTTCTAACATGAGGACATGATCTGCCCTCCGCTCGAGAATTGTTATTATAGCAGGCTTCCACCAGACATGACACATCCACGATGCTGCGAGCTGCCATTTTTCTGCACACATGTGGATCTAACGCGTCCAAGAGTCACTCGGATATAAGTGGTACCAACTGAACCCACTGCAAGCATTCGATGGAAACCAATCGTCAAACAAGCGATATTCTTTCCGCAATTGCCGAGCGGGCCCGCAGGTATACTATCAACCTTGATGGCCAGATAGAACGAGATCCTTCCGCAAGTACTAGGGGAGGTTATGGTATGATATATCGTGGCACGCTACTTGCAGGGGGGAGGGCCGTGGCAGTAAAGACCGCCCGTGGTATTCCAGACATAGAGACTGCCAAGGTAATGCTGTTGGATGGCTACATCTCCCGTATTGATCGCCATCCAGCGAATGCTCAAGGAGGCACATACGTGGTCGAAGCTCGAGCACTCTAATATCCTCAACATCCTTGGAATAACCACAACCTTTGACCACACAGTGTCACTAGTATCTCCGTGGATGGATGGAGGTAGCGCCTATCGCTATGTGCAAAAGCCAGACAGGGACCCTCGTCCTCTTGTAAGTTGGAAGGTGTAATTTTGACTGTATGTCTGATGGAGTGTGGTTCAGGTCAAAGACATTGCTCTCGGACTTTGCTACCTACATAGTCATCCGGATGGTCCAATAATCCACGGTGACCTGAAAGGTGTAGGTCTTGTTGTGTCGAACTTGGAAACTCACGTAATACTCGGGAGACAGGACAATGTGCTGATCACCTCTGATGGTCGGGCTGTTCTTACAGACTTCGGACTTTCTGTCCTGGAGAATTCGTCATTCAGCATGACCGTAAGCCGTGAGGTCGGGGGCTCATTACGTTGGATGGCACCGGAGATGGTAGATGCCTTGTCCTCCCAAGACCCCGGTTTCACCGTCGAGGGTGACATCTGGGCTTTTGGGATGACGACGTTGGTACGTCCGGACCTTTCTCTTGTTGATCAGATTCGCCAAGCATATTTTTACAGGAACTCTTTACCCGGAAACATCCCTACTTTAACCTGACCAGTCTCAATGCCATTCAATCCCGGATACTCAAAGGTCCACCAGAAAAGCCGTCCAGCGAGGACACTAGTTCGCGTATGACAGACGAATGGTGGGGCGTATGCTCGCGTTGCTTGAAGATGGCCCCGTCTTCGCGCATTGGAGCGGTGGATATTGTGAAAGAAACTAGGGAGGTTAGCACACGTTCTTTAAACCCCACGTAATGGAAGTCGAGATGATATCACCCCACAGCTTCCACCCAGTGCGTGTGTAGTATTCATAATGAGTTCGAAGCTGAACAGCAACTATGGCTTCGTTTAACCAGGAAATGACATTGTTATCGTGTACGTGCTTTGCTTGCAAGCTTTTCCCTACTGACTTGATTCGTCCCCAGAGTAATAGGACCTACGAGATCAGGGAAAAGCAATGTAAGAATTGTTGGTACCATGTACTTGGTTCCTTGACAACGTGCTTTGTAGTTTGTCAACAAACTCACGGGCTGTGAAGGGGAGCTTGGCGCAGACAATACCATTTCTCCCACTCAAGGCATTCGCGAGTTTGTATTGGACGTCTCTCGTGACAAACGCTATGTATTTGTGGACACACCAGGGTTCGACAATGTTTCCCAACCAGATCAAGATGTTCTTCAGGCCATCGGTGAATGGCTACGAAATAAGTAAGCCTTCGTCCTTCCACACTACGCCACTTGCGCATACATAAGATAGGTATCTGCCACACGTAAGGATTACAGGTGTTATCTACACACATCGCATAACCGACCGCCACATGTCTGACACGGTGCGGGAGAACCTCACCGAGTTCTGTCGGTTATGTGGGGAGATGGCCCCACAGCAAGTGCGACTGGTGACTACCTGGTGGGACAATGCAGAAAATGCAGAAACAGCGTCGAATTGGGTCTCGCGGTTGGAGGGAAACTTGTGGAAACCTTCCACTGCAGCAAACGCCCGACACGAACGGTTTTCCAATACGCAGAAGTCGGCTTTGGATGTCGTAAATAGATTGGTGGGGAAAGATGCCCTCCTGACCTCGGAAGAGCTGGAACGTGCACAAAAACAGCTGAACAAGATCAGTGTTACAGATTTCCCCAACCCTTGTCCACGCAAAAATACGAAGATGTCACTTGGAAAGCGGATTGGCTCGTGGTTTCGAAGAGGAGTGGGGTCAGGAAACGGGGACTAAGAACGCTGGAACGCATCGATAGTGTGGTTATCGCAAGTTCTCACAGGAAGTGACCGTACTTCTCCCCTACCGCCGCAGCATGGACCTACATGTGATGGTTTGCGCCTAGATCCACCAATAGCTATAATTGTTACATATGCGTTGTGGGCCTAGCTGGGCCCAGGCCTTTGCCTCACTGTTGCCTTGTACATGCATATCCCGCTCCTTTTCTGCGTAGCTCAGCTGTGCTGGCAAGAACCAATGGGGTTGCTGGGGCTACGATGGTCCGTGTAGTGTATGACCATTGCATACCAAATACTCACTGGGCTCGAAGTTGCCATGGATCGCCTTCCGGCCGTTCTGGGGCATTGTAGCTCGGGGGAGGACAACGGCATCCTTCCTTTCGATACGCCAAGAATACAATGTGCCATTAATGTACACAACTAGGAAGATGCAAGTACAAACCAAACTTTTGCAATCGTAGATGAACGTGGTAGACGAATTGAAATATATGGACGTGCTACATGAAAGAAAGGATGGCGGGGGGGATAGGCTTAGCTGACTTGTCTGCTACGCCGGGATTTATTGACGGTGTTGGACCGTTCCAAATTGGACTTGAGCGACCGCACCGCATGCACGATTTCACCTGAAACAAAACTCACATTCAGCGCCATGCCAGGTACAGGACAGAGCCCTGAAATCAAGGTCCTTGACCTTCGATATTATGAAGTCAGAAAAGCGTACCTGCAAGTTTGGGCGTGTCCTGCCTCAAAGTCGTACCGCTTGTTCCTACTGTCGCGCTGGACAACGATCTTGAACAACGACGCCGACTTCTGGGACTGTTGGCACACGACCACGCTCTTTACGTGGAAGGACACAGTTTTGCCGCTATCAAAGACATTTTTGGCCTTATTAGCAGCTGGCATGATCTAAAATCAAACAAGTTCGTGATGGGTTGGCTGGTTATAGAGATGAGGAGGAACGGCAACGTACGTGAATGTAGACACCGTCGATAGCGAAGGTGCGTTCTTGGCGGGCGAGCATAGGGGTTTTGCGGTAGACTGTGAATCGCTGTAAAGGGTGGCCCAAAGGACCTGTTTAGTCCATGGGCTCACGACGTAGGGTAGAACCCACCTTGTACGCCGTCGTATAGTCTGCTGCCTGCACCCAGCTGCAGCTCGGGCACGTCAGAGATACGTTTGAAGATTGACGCTGGGCAACCGTACATCAATAATTTAGCTTGAACACAAGGGAAGAGATTGTGAACACACCGTTCGGGTCGGTCGTCCGTGTCCCACGACTCTCAGGTTCAATGCCCAACTGCTGGAAGCATCGATCTCTTCACTAAGGTCAATTCACGCTTCCCTTCCAACGATGCGACGGTACGGTCGAGGTAGATAAGAATATTTAAATCGTTGAGAATCAATGCATAGTCCTTTGGATTCACCAACTTGCGTTTCCGGCAAACGAGTTCAAGCGCTTCTTGCATATACATACCCGCAGAACTGTGATGAGGGACGCAAAGGGCGATGTCAGCACTATATCAGGATGATATGGTCTACGAAAAAACCTACACGGGTATGGTCGTCGAAACGTGACCGGCGTCAGCGGTATCTGCAACTCTGATACGTAAGAATATAGGTGGGCCCTGGCCAGAGGATGGACCAAGTGACGAGGATAAGAGAGGGGTCGTGCTGAACAGCGTACTCGCTTCCGCTCCAGGAGCAGAACGTGGTGCAAGCCCTGGGGCGGGCGGAGCACCCTTGGCGGGAGCAGCAACGATTCGTGATGGATGACGCTGGATCTTGCTCTCGAGCTGCTCATTTTGTTGGACTGAGAGACAAGTCAGTGTTAACGTTAAGGGGGAGTGGGAAATGACGCACTCTGAGTTGCAGTTGCAAGTATGATTGCGAATACCTCAAAATTGAACTTGGAGATCTTCCCAGTTCTGTCGGGCGCTGCAAGCGGAAAGTCATCACGAACGCTCCAACACAAGCATGAGGCCGCACGCACGGGGAAAATCTTCATCGACTTCTCCATCATCCTCGGCAATACGCATTACCCAACCCACGGCAGACAGCTTTGGATCGGTGTCACCAACACCTTCGTTCAGCTTCGGTAGCCAACCCTCTTCCCAATAACTCCACAACGCAAACCCAATGACTTCCTCAACAGTAGCATCTTTTCTGACGTTCAAAGTCATAACCTCGCCTCTTGGCTGGCGTGCGTGTGGGAAGAATACTTTGACGTCCACGGCTGCAGTCTCTCCACGGCCGGAAACAGCGGCGTACAACTCACTGAAAGGGTTGGATGATCCCCCAGAGGAGGCGAGCATCATGGTCAAGGCAGAGACCCGGGGTTGTGGGGGGCTCACTGTACGTCGGGTGAATATCATCTCTGAAGGGTCAGCGTCGACGACAGGTTGAGATATCGAAGCTCCCCTCCTACGCGTCTCTATTCTGGGAGGGTTAGGGATCACAGTTTGGTTCGGCGGCGGCGGCGGCTTGATAATCTCGAAATGAGAATCCACGTCTTCCGCGGTGTCAGTATTTGAGTGATCGTCGTCGGTGCCAAGTCCCTCGGAAACAGGACTGAGTCGAGAGCGTGAGATTGCAGCAGACGTCAGCACGACAACTGACGGTTGTGAGACAGATGGTGCAGGGGAGAGTATGGAAGCTATGTCCGAAGGAGTATCTAACCCGGGGGTGCGTGCTGCGAAGTCACTGTTTGACGATGAGATATATGTAAGCCTGGACCGCCAGCAAACTTACGGGTCGAATTCGTCTCCCTCGTCCATGTCATCCGCGATCTGATCAGTGTCAAAGTCTTCTTCGTTCTCTTCTTCGACCGTTTCATTTTCATCCTCTGAGGATGATAATTCTGGGTTTAAACTCCTCGAAGCGACAGAAGGTGGTTTCTGAGCGCCCGGTGGTTGCCCACGGCGCGCCATCATGCGTAACCGTCGCCTAGCTTCCATTTCGGCTGCTCCCTTGAATTTCGGTATAAACTGAGCTTCCCTCGCTGGTTGTTCTAGTGGGGCGGGCTCTTCTTTGGCTACCGGCAGAGGCGGCGGTGGAGGGTTGCCAGCCAACCGAGATGCACGCTTTGAATTAGACAAACGTCGCCCATTCACTCTCATACCAAGTGCACCGGATTTATTCCCCATGATTGTGTCGTGGTGTTTGAGACGAGGTGTACCAGTGGGTCCGGTCGTCCTGGAAGGCTCCTCGGTGTCTGTTTCATCGTCTGATATGGGTGGACTCGAAGGGTACTCTAGCTCTGGCCATCGCTGTGCGTCAGCAAGAGACGCCGCAAGGATGTATGGATTGGAAGTATAGGATGGACTGAACGAAATGATACGACCACCGTACTGATCGTCAACGTTGCGGAGATAAGACAGCCGCAGACTGTGTACTAGATATCTATTACCCGAGTCAGCGGACGGTCTGGCATAGAGCGACACAGACTCACCCTGGATCATTGACCAGCGACATCTCCTGGCACTGGCACGGTCACTACAAGCAACTTCTAGTCGGATGATACTACTGAGTGACTTGACCAAACACGAACCAAACACGGCGGGGTCACGTGGGTGAAAACCCCTGAAACACGTTGGTTTCACCGCCCCTCTTCTGATCTACCAGAAAAATCATTTCAACAATCAGAATAAACATCCCTTCATCATAGAACGTCACCATCGCGGTACTGTGCCAAGAATCATTTTCTGACATACTGTACGGGAACTGGAGATAGCTGTATAAACAGGACACTACTAGTCACGGAGGAGGAGGATTAGGCATCTCTATGTGCAGCATCTGCAACCTGGGTGCGAGAATTCTAAGGTATTGTCCCACCGGGTGGTTTGAATGAAGGCCAAAGGACGCAATGCGGAGCGACCGGAGAGTCAATGTCTCCATTTCCGGCTCTTCCTCAGGTAGAACCCTCGCATCAACCTCCATGCCGAGCGATGAAAGTCGTGGGCAGCGTCGTAAGAACTCACGTAGGCCTCTCAGCGTTGCACGTGACATTTTCCAGTTGGGATCCCACGCAGGTGGAAGGTCTCAAGATAAGGCCACGCAAGTGCGATCTGTACGACTGAAGGCATCGTCGATATCCAGCATACCCCACGAAGTGAGGTCAAAAACACGCAAGTAACGACATGTAAGGAGGGGTCGGAGAGTCGATTGTGGGAGATCGAAGGAAGGATCTGTGGCAAGTGTGGTTGGCCTGGAGTATTCGACGACGAGTGCTTGAAAGTATGGAAAGCGTTTATGAATGCGCTGGATCTCCTGGAACAGTGCATAGATGTCGCTCTGAGTAGCAGGCAAGCGATGGGATATCCGGACATGACCGAGAGTGGACGAGGAGATAATGGAAAGAAAGCTGGTACCCCGATTCAAAGAACCAACGGTGACATCCAAATCCCCAAGTGACGGGAGTATCGATTGCATGGATGGATGGATGTCAATATCGAAGTCATCGGGTAAGGTCACAGTCAACTCATACAAATCTTGCAAGTGGATCAGGGCACGCAGATCACTGGGCGAGACATCCACATTGTCAGAGAGGGAGAGAATACGCAGGTAAGGAAATCCCCCGAAGTTGACCGCCAAGCGGACAGGTGTGATGTGTTGATTCGCATCATCGCGGGCAGCATCGATTCGTAACGTTTGAAGGGATGGTACACAATTTGGTGGGAAGTGTAAAATTTCATTGGGATCCTGGCGTCGGTGGTGCTCAGAAATAGTGAAAGCCAGGTGAAGAAGGTGAGGTAAGCGCATGGGAGCAAGTAACATGATTGGCTGTGCATATAAATGTTCTCGGTTGTTGAAGAGATTGAAGTCCAGAGCACGGAGCGACGGAAAGAGCTCATGGAATAGACCCGGCTGGAAGATGGCGCTCAAGGTATTACTGCAGACTCCGGGTAGATATAACGTGGTGCAATCAAACGCCTGGATTCGGCGTGAGTATCTTTTCAACGCGAGCCAGTCCTCATGCGAAGGTTGAGGCTGCATAGGTTAGAGACTGTTGGAGGCATCAGCGACTCAACTCACCGCTACAGGCGAAGACGGCGTACCACGATTGTAACCCTGTCACGGTTGGCATCCCTCCTCAAAGACCCCCGACGAAACCAACGTACCACGGCATTGCGGCTGCGATTCCCCCTCGTCCAAAAACGACTTGGCAAGCACATGACAAGTGGACTGAGCGAAGACTGCGTTCGCCAGAGAGCGTCAAGCGCTGGGTCCTTGAACGCCTTGCAAGTCCTAGCAAGCCTTGCGACGTCCTTGTAGCTGATAAAGGAGGATCTGTATCCGTCACCTTCCAAGAATCCGATAATGAGATAAAGAATGTCGGGGACTAGAAGGCAGGCGTGCATGTCTGCGCAAGCAAGAATTGCTCTATCGTGGATGTCAATGAACTCGTTATCACTAGATACTGCGCGACTTGACCAAACACGGAGCAAATAGTCCGATAGGGTCACAGTGGACTCCACCAGCCCAAACCCCCGAAAGACACGTGTTTGTGATTTCGTTCCTCCGATGGTCTTGTGCAACGCCGTTGCAGTGGGTATTCCTTGCCATATATCATTATCCAAATGTAGACCCTGTGTTATCGAGGCGCCGCGGCACGTTTTCACAACTGACCGTATCTTTGCAGGTCCATTGAGTGAATACTTGGCGATTCATATCTTTCCTGGACATTCATCTGTCCGCCCTTGGGGCCCTGTTCTCCAGGGGCGTACCTTCATACTAGGACTCGACTCCACCGAGCCGGAATCCAGGGTCGCCTACAGGACCCTCCAGTTCTTCTGATGCCTGATTAGGGTGCACAGCGCGGATGCTTTCCTTCAACTGCTTGGTGGTAACCCGTTCAACAACTACATGCCACGGTGACCCGCACTAGTTTATTGATACCCAATAACTATCTCTCGAAATGTCCCATTAGGCTGACATAGGGAGGCAACAACTACACACCTCTAAGGGCATTCCGGGGATTCAGATCGGGGCAGGGATACCATGATACAGGTCTACATCTTTGTGTTCATCTGCCAAAAATCGTAACTGAGTGCCTCACTACGTACATCAGGCAGTGAGTTCCTTCGACATACATCCATGCAACCGCTAAATGTAATTATGCAAGGTGGGAAATGATATCACCGCCGTGCGTGGAAACCGAAAGTACCGGGGAAAAGCGACACAGAAGTCGGAGACCGGTTGTAATTCGCAATCCGATGAAGAGTGGTCTCAGCACGGATAAGATCCCAAAGTTTGGCGAATAGGGGTACCCATCCAAGGCGTAGCCTTGCTGATCGAACGTGAACACGTTGATTAGAAGGACTCGGCATCCGTAGGGCTCTGATATAGAAATAGAAATAACGGGTGATGGCGGCTACTCCGCTGGAGGCTTCGTTAGTAACAGAATGATCGCAGGGGGGTGAATGTACACGGCAAGGAGCTACAACTAACCGTCTCGTCTCATTACTACGTTGCAGGTTTGAATGGATGGCAACGAGTGGGCGACAATGACCCCAGATAGTGATCCGCCAGCTGTTTCAGTAATCCGAAGCGCAGGTGGAAGTAGTCGACCAAGCCAAGGCCTGATTGGTATCTTCTCGACGCTTCGAACTGCTCCCACCTCATCCGAGAAGGTAGGTGCCCAGGCTACACGCAAGGAAAGGAGTCGTCAATATTGTGCGAGAATAAAATAAAATAAGCACCTGCAGCCTAGGGCGGGATGATGGAAAACTACTCTCTCCATCTCCTAGGGGACGCTGCTGTAAGGGCGTCAGGACGGCAGCTCTGGGCTTGCAATAACCGAAGGCCGGGAATCCAAGAAACACGGCCTTGTTGCCCAGGACATGCAAAAACAGTCGATTAGGTAGGATTAACCAGAATTTGGCTAGCACCGTGACAAAGTGCGTGGACAAGTCATCTGTTGAATCTGATGAGTTAGTCAATCCAAAAGTGAGTAGGTGAGTAAGGAACCCAGGTAAGATACGTGACAATTTCACCGTCACCTTGGCAGGGGTTGACCTCAACTTGGTAAAACGACAGAGAACACATTAATGCGAATTGTAACCCTTCTCCTGGTCCCAGAAGCGTTATTTTATTTCAACGATCAGAATAAGCACCTTTTATTGCGGAATGCCACCATCACAGTACTGCAGGAAACCGTGTGAAATCAATTTCTGCGAACGGTGAGATACTGCACAGCCGGAGATAGTTGCGTAGGCAGGACACTACTAGCGTCACAGTACAAGTACCAAGCTCGCAAAATCTTATGCGCCGCGAACCATCTGGAAATGGGAGCAGCAGACGACACGATTCTGTAGACGATGTTAGGAGATGAAAAGCTACCATGACCACACCATCATCGTGTGCAACCTAGGTGCGAAAACTTCAAGTTATTGTTGTGCCCTCAAGTCTTCTTGTAGGCCAAAGGCCGTAATACAAAGAGTCTGGAGAGATAACGTCTCCATTGTCGGCTCTTGCTCGGTAGAAGCCTTGCATCAGCTCCATGCCGAGCAACATAAGTCGTGGGTAGCCTGGCAAGCGCTCACGTAGACCTCCCAGCATTACATGCGATAGGTGTGATCGGCGCGATGAAGACGTTGTCGATATCCAGCATTCCGCAAGAAATAAGGTCAAAAACGCGCAAGTGGTGACATGCAAGGAGTTTCAGGGTCGATTGAGGAAGGTCGAAGGGTCAGTAATGGGCGTGGTTGGTTGTTCGCATTCGACAACGAGCGTGTGAAAGTCTAGAAAGCGTTCACGGATGCGTTGAATCGTCTGGAAGAGCTCATAGACGTCGCTCTGGGTAGCAGGCAAGCAATGAGAAATCTTGACCTTGTCACGGCCGGCATCCCTCTCGAAGACCCCCGGCGAAGCCAACATACCACTGCACTATGGCTGCGATTCCCCCTCGTCCAGAAACTACTGGGAAAACACATGACGAGTGGACTGGGCAAAGATTGCTTTCTCCAGAGAGCGTCAAGGGCTGGGTCCATGAACTCCCGGCAAGTCCTAGCGAGTCTTGTCTTTGCGACCAATATGAGATTATCTGCATCTGTCACCTTCCCGATGATGGGACTGAAGAAAATCAAGGACCCCAAGGTAGGCGTATATGTCTGCGCAAAACGGGATCACCTCCAAGTCTAGCGTCAACTCTGACTCTGACTCGTTTTACGAAGTCATAAAAGTCACTGCTCTGAGTGACTTGACCAAACACGGACCAAACAGTCCGACCCCGTGGTATCGGTGGGCGCAACTTCCTTTGATGGTCTGGTCTGATACCACACTACTACCACATCACCATCATGTCAGAGGGCATCCAGGGCAAACAATAGTTGTAGTAATTCTGCATGAAGTTTAATTATTCAGCGCGAGAAGGTGTTGAGTTGCGAAAACAGTTTGCTTTATGAGGTATGCACACCCCTACAACTATGGCCCCTGACTGTGCACAGCATGTGGAAGTAGTCGACGAGTGTCATGAGGTCTGACGGGTATCTTCTCGATACCCGGAAATCCTCCACATCAGCCGAGATGGTAATAGGTGCCCGGCTACACGCGAGGAAAGGAGTCACCAAAATTGTACGGGGGGAAATAAAATAAACACCTGCAACCGAAAGCGGGAGGAAGAAGGAAGACTACTTGCCCCGTCTCGCAGAGGACTTGAAGGTTTTGATTAAAGGCGGCAGGACCGGCCGCCCCGCAGTTGCGATAGTAAAAGATGGCCGTCGATCCGAGAAACACAAGTCGTTACTGCCGACATTCAAACGGTTAGGTAGGAATGTGGTGAGGTGCATACTGCAGGTGTGGTTCGTTCGTAGACAAGTCATTTGTTGAATCTCATCGGATTGGGTGACTCAACCAATTCAAAAGTGAGGCTCGAGAAAGGAGCCAAGATACAATGCAGGACACTTTACGGTTGCCTTGGCGAATGGCCAAGATGGCTTCAGCTTGGTAAAACGATAGGCAGCACGAATGCGAACTGTAACCCTTCTCCTAGCCCTGGAAGGGCGGTTTTAATGATCGAAGCACACATACTCTTATCGTAGAGTGCTGCAAGAATACATGGTAAATCAATTTCTGAAAACAGTGACATACTGTACAAGTGTGATTAGGGTCGCTCAAAGTTGGGGCCTACGCCGATAGAACGACCACTACAAATTAGCCGTGGGCGTAGACTCCAAATTTGAGCGACCCTATTGGAACCGGAGATAGCCGTACAAACAGGACATAGCGCTGGTGATCACCAAGGAAGACTGCTAAAGCAAGGCTCCATCCACAAACACCCTGCGCACCGCGGACCATCTGGAAGAGGAAGTAGCGGGCGATACGATTCTTTGGACAACAGCAGGAGATGGAAAGCTACCATGGGTTGTGTAGGACGTGGCGAGGGTTGGTCACATAGAACATTACCTGCCCAGGCCCAGCCCAGGTCAGGGCGAACAGACTCTATACAGAGGACCTGCAACCTAGGTGCGAGAACTCTAAGGTATTGGGCTACCCTGATGTGGACACCTTCCCGGCCAATAGTCGTAATATGGAGCGACTGGAGAGACAATGTTTCCATTTCCGGCTCTTCCTCAGGCAGAACCCTCGTATCAACCTCCATGCCGAGCGATAAAAGTCGTGGGCAGCTTCGCAAGAGCTCACGTAGACCTCTCAGCGTTACACGCGACAATTTACGTTGGGATCCACGCAGATGGAAAGTCTCGAGATCAGGCCACGCAAGTGCAATCTGCGCGATGAAGGCATCATTGATACCCAGCATGCCTCGAGAAGTGAGATCAAAAACACGCAAGCGGCGACATGCAAGGAGGGGTTTCAGTATCCATCGCGGGAGGTCGAAGGAGGGATCGGTGGAGAGAGCGATTGTGTCGGAATATTCGACAATGAGCGTGTGAAAGTCCGGAAAACGTCGATAAATGCGGTAGATCGCCTGAAACAGCTGATAGATATCGCTCCAAATAGCAGGCAAGCGATGGGAAATCTTGACATGACCGAGTTCGGACGAGATAAAGGAAAGAAAGTTGGTTCCCTGATTCAAAGAACCAACGGTTACGTCCAAATACCGAAGTGAGGGGAGTATCGGTTGCATGGATGGATGGACGTCAATATCGAAGTCATCGGGTAAGGTTACAGTCAACTCTTGCAAATTTTGCAAATAGATCATCTCGCGCAGATTAGACGAGACATCCAGATTGCGAGAGAGGGAGAGGATACGCAAGTAAGGAGTTTCTCTGAAGCTGGCTGCCAAGTGGACAGGTGTGATACGTCGGTTCACATCGAAGACAGCATCGATGCGCAATGTTTGAAGGGATGGCGCACAAGCTAGCGGCAATTGTAGAATTTCATTGGGGTCCTGGTATTGGTGGTGTTCACAAATGGTGAAGGCCAGGTGAACAAGGTGGGGTAAACGCATGGGAGTGAGCAACCAGATGGGCCGTACATATGATGGTTCTCGGTTGAAGACATCGAAGTTCAGAGTACGGAGTGACGGAAACAGCTCAGGGAACAGACCCGGCTGGAAGACGTGCAAGGCATTGCTACAGATTCCGGGTAAATCTAGCGGGGTGGAATCAAACGCTTGGATTCGGCGTGAATATCTTTTCAGGGAGAGCCAGTCCTGAAGCGAAGGTGGAGGCTTCATGGTGAGAGACTGAGGGGGGCATCAGCGACCCTACCCACCATCACAGGTGAGGACGACGTACTACGACCTTGACCTTGTCACGGTCGGCATCCCTCCTCGACGACCCCCAGCGAAGCCAACGTAGCACGGGATTCTGGCTGCGATTCCCCCTCGTCCAGAAACGATTGGGTAAGCACATGACAAGTGGACTAAGCGAAGATTGCTTTCTCCAGAGAGCATCAAGCGCTGGGTCCTTGAATGCCTTGCAAGTCCTAGCAAGTCTTGCAACGTCCTTGTAACTGGTATCGGGGTGATCACTATTTCTGTCATCTTTCGAGAATCCGATGATGCAATGAAGAATATCGGGGACTCGAAGACAGGCGTGCATGTCTGCACAAACGAGATCACCTTGCTCTACATGGATATCAGTGAACTCTTATCAGTATGTGTGTATGTACTCCTGAGTGACTTGACCAAACCAAGACCAACAAGTCCGCAGTTAGGTTATATGTCCCAGTGGGCATCGGGCAGTTCAACCCCCCTGAAACACGCATGCCCATGGTTTCGGAATTCGGTGTGCGTAATTTCCTTCGATGATCTGGTCTGGTACCACGCTGGCACTGCATCATCGTATCATTATGTATCAACCGGCGTTAGTAGTTTTCTTGTCTGAGTACAATTACCCAAGTATAGATCGTATGTAATAGAGGTGCACCACGTTGTCGGGGCGCTCCGCGCCACGTTTTCACGCGGGTTTACAACCAGTCCAATGTCTCCATATTGAATGCATACTATACTTGTCGATAGTCCTTTAAGCTTTGTATATCACAAGCATGTCCACCCTCTGCTGCCATTGTTCTCGGGCAGAGCGGAGGGGCGGGGCGGTGATAGTGTACACGTGACCCGACGCGACCGCGTTTATTTGTATATATTTGGTGTAGATGGTTGAAAATGGGTAATGCCGGATTTGCTTTGCTTGCCGCCATCGACCAGCATCTGTCTTGGATTTCATCGACCTTAGTACTTTGCTTTGCTGGATACCAGTCCCCGCCTCCCCCCTTCAATGGCCTCTAACATACCCGTAAGTTTAACCAGACTCTGGGGCGACACTCCAGTGCACTAACCGTCATAACCCAGACTCGTCGTATCACTCGGCAATTCCGCACAACAGCCCAGAAGGATAACGAAAATGCCACCGCCCGTGTTGCTCGCCCGATGACACGGTCAAAGCCACCATCAAATTCTGGTGCGCTGGCCCCGGCCTCCACCGCAACCAGCAGAGTGACCGCCCCCACTCTTGCCTCGAGGGCCAAAGTGGTTGGCAAGGACGAGAACAAGGTAGACCACACTGCACAGGGGAAGCGTAAACGTGAGGCGCTCGGTGAAGTTACGAAAAATACCACCAAGAATATCGCAGTGGCTTCCAAGGACTCTAAGGCTGAAAAGTTTGACGGTGTCGTCATCAAGACCGCCACTAACGTCCGCCAACCACTACGTACTGTGGCCGGTCCTACAACCCGGCGTTCTGCCAGAGGGGGCGTGCCAGTGCCATCACAAATACATCCTTTGGAAGAGGTAAAGGAAGACGTCAGGGAGCCGGTAAAAAACGCTCCAGTATATGTACAACCACGTGAAGCAAAGATGGCCGTCGAAGACGACCGAGTGTTTAAGAAACGGAGAACGTCCTCTGATGTACCTGACGACGTCAAGTCTTTCGATGAGGAGGACCAACACGAGGTCGCCCAAGCTCTGGAACTTGGCGTCGAAAGTGAACCGGAAGCAGACCCGAACGGTGATGACTGGGACGACCTCGACGCAGACGACGCCGACGACCCACTCATGGTCAGTGAATATGTTGTTGAAATTTTTCAATACATGAAGCAGATCGAGGTACGATCGGTGTCTTCCATCCACGTGTCACTCTGACCGCTAACTTCTTTTCAGTTAACTACGCTTCCAAACCCTGACTACATGTCGTGTCAAAAGGAACTCGCTTGGTCCATGCGTGGCATTCTGATCGATTGGCTAGTGCAGGTTCATGCTCGCTTCCGTTTACTTCCAGAAACCCTCTTCCTTTGTGTCAACATCATTGACCGTTTCCTTTCTGCCCGTGTCGCGTCGCTCGCAAAGCTTCAACTTGTCGGTATAACATGTTTGCTAGTCGCCGCGAAAGTCGAGGAAATCGTTGCCCCCTCCGTCTCACATTTTCTTCATTGCGCCGATTCGTCATACTCAGAAGCAGAGATCCTCCAAGCAGAGCGTTATGTCCTTAAGACACTCGACTGGAACCTCAACCACCCCAATCCGATGCACTTCCTGAGACGGATCAGCAAGGCCGATGACTACGACGTCAAAGCACGAACAGTCGGAAAATACCTCCTCGAGGTCGCAGCGCTCGAGTGGAGATTACTTGCAACACCGCCCTCGTTGGTTGCCGCTGCCGCCATCTGGCTAGCCAGATTGATATTAGGTAATGACAAATGGGTAAGTCTTGGCGTCGTCGTCCCTCGACCGTCCTCATATTCGTACAGACACCTAACTTGGCTCATTACTCGTCGTATACCGAGAGCTTGCTCATACCGACTGCCAACATGATGTTGAATTACATCCTGAAGCCAATACGTCATGAGTCTTTCTTTAAGAAGTATGCCGGAAAACGCTATCTCAAGGTATGAGATCAGACAGTGCGTTTTCCCTGGGGAGCTCATCCGGCATAGGTCAGTGTATGGGTTCGTGAGTGGGCGCTTGAACGGTGGGAGGAAGGAGCGCAGGCTTCACTGGCCCAAGATTTACCGAAGCTTAAGGCGTTGAACCGCACCGAGAGGGCACGGCAGGAAGCTGCTGATGTGCTACATGGAGGCCTGGAGGACTCGTAGCGACGCGCAGGTCGCATCAACTAGGGTCTCGATTACCTCCGTTTTAATGGCTCCTCATGACGAAATCAATCATGCAATAAAGGATACCTGCAAACATCACACGCATTCTACCACCATCCAGTTTTTTCACTCACGATCCATTGTGCAACCTCCACACTCTCATCTACATTTCTAGTCTGTTTTATTTTTTGAAAAATATTATCCGTTCGCCTTATGGTAACCTCCCCTGGGTATGCTGGTCTACATGCATGTGTCGCCTTGTCTCCCTGATATATAAGCCCGTCTTCCTGCGATCGATTCAGGCGCCGTCACGTTCTCCTCACCGATGTCGCTGTGCCGCTCCCGATCCCGGTGTCATTTGGTCCCTCGACATGCACGCCCGAGGACCCGTCTCCCTCACCCGCGATACCTTACCCGCCTGATCCAACCATGCTCCTCATTATGATTCCCCTCATTCATCATTTTACCCGCATACCACACGAGCAAGTGACACGCGTCCGTACGTTGGGTTCCACTTTCGTCGTCATCATCGGACCCTTCAGGGTAGCCATCGCCATTACCTTTTCGCGTCCCTTCTTCATTCATATATAACTATTCCGGATCGCCTTGGCGGGGTTCCTCCTCTTCTTCTCTGCCTCTTTTATGGCTTGTGATTTATGCATTTGATGAGGTGTATCTTTTAGAAGAAAAATTATAATTGCATTTGTGGAGTTCGGGTGTGCAAGTGTAAGAATCGATGTGATTCAAACTGTTCGCTAGAACCCAGTAACCGACGTGGTAATTTGCAAGTCATCCACCATAGACTGCATTACAGTTACAACCAACGCACTGAGTATCGACTCCAGATCTATGTGGGAATGGTGCAGAGCATCGACGATTCAGAGGTCCCTGCACGACCTGCTTCACGAGTTGTCTATGTCGTTTCAGAGGAGCTAGTGAAGGCAAGTTCGACGTTCGCCACGATTGGCTCGTACGCCGATAACCCTCCCCTGGCTAGGCATCTTCGCTCCTACCCTCAAACAGAAACAGGTCGTTCTTGGTTCATTCGTTAGTGGCCGCCCTGGGCCTGTTCAAAGCCGTCAACCCAGATCTCGATGGCCAGAAATACATGCAAGTGATACGTCCCCGCCGAGCGTCCCCGCGCGAACTACTAGTATACCATACTCGCGATTACCTCGAGTATGCACTCAATCCAGCCACAAGAGACTGTCAAGACCAGTCCCAAATCGCCGAGTTTGGACTCGAAGACGTGCGTTTATACTTACGTTCCACCCGCTGATGCTGTGATTGACTCCACTGATATGTATGTCTGTTTGCAGGATTGTCCTCCTTTTCATAATATGCATGAATACATTCAACTGGTGGCGGGTGCAACGCTGACAGCGGTAGACACGTTAAAGGACGACGTATGCGACGTCGCTATCTGTTGGGACGGCGGAAGGTCGGGGCCCGTCTCTTTGCTGTTTTTTACTGTCGACGTTGAAGAAAGAGGTCGAAATTCTGTGATCTTCAAGGCATCACGCCCAGAAATCCAAGGCGTCTGGGTTTTGTTACGTGGCTGATTGTGTCCTCGCTATTTTGGCTTTGAAGAAGAACCGACTGGCGGCGACGATCTCCGCTACTAGTAATACGCTGCCAACGATAACGACGCGAAAACCGCGCGTGATGTACGTCGACTTGGATGTGCATTTTTCGGATGCTGTTTCAGAGGCTTTTTATAACGCGAGTTCGACGGCGTCGTCTCAGATACTGGTAACTGGTGTGATTTCTTTTGCCTGTTACCAAGACGTCTTAAGCTATTTAGACGTTGTCAATTCACCACACTTCCCCAGGATTCTTTCCCCCCTCATTGCTATCCGACCTGTCGAATCCTGATGACCCCGCTTTCGACCCATTCACGTTATCGCTGCCTCTAAAAGCTGGTGCGTCCAACCGAACATTCGCTCGAGTATGGCCGACCGTCAATGGAATCGAGAAGACCTTCGGTCCTGATTTCGTAGTGATCCAATGTGGAGTGGACAGTTTAGCTGGTGATCCTGTGGCTACCTGGAATTGGTGTCTTGGTGATGGCGAAGGATCCTTGGGTGGTTGGCTAGAGAAGATGCTACGTGAGTGGCGAGGCAAAAAGTTACTCCTGGGCGGTGGTACGTGGATCTTCTTTCCGTTTATTTTTTTAATGCTGGATAAACCGTGATCAAGGCGGGTACAATTCTGCGAATGCTGCACGCGCATGGGCGTATTTGACTTCTATAGCCGTAAGTATGGGTCTCTCTGTCCTAAACATAATCAAATGGATGATGGTGGGGACGACTTTATTTACGTGTCAGATGGGCAACCCACTCCCAGTAGACACAGATATACCGGAGCATCGTGCGCTTCCGCTATATCAGCCATCCTTTACGCTGGACGTCCCGGCTGGTAATATGCGGGATGAAAATTCAGAGGGTTACCTGTTGGAAGTGGAGCGACGGTTTGAGCGGATTCGAGAAGTGTTGAGCTGTAGATTGTCCGGCGCTACGGGTTCTGTATGAGTGTTTGGTGTTGGTCACTAGTGCAGAAGTTCTTACACATTCGCAAACCGCTACAGCCAAACACTTGTTACCACTACTTGCCATCGCTCGTCGTCGTTCAAAGCGTTGGTCAGGCTGGCCAGCTTGTTATGTCGTCCTAACCCGTGTACAATATTATTCAAACTCCCATTCCGGTCTTTCCATCCAACACCTCGCAGGCACGCACACTCGATGCTCTGGAGCACATCTGTTTTGAGCACACTTTCGTCCGACACGGAGCCTTCCGTCGTCATCGCCTTCGATTCGGCCAAATACCTCTTCAACGTTGGGGAGAATACCACCAGATCCTATTTACAGAGCCGGCAAACATGGAGGAAGACCAGGGGAATCTTTCTAACCTCGATTAGTACCCAGAGGTCGAGCGGGCTTCCAGGTGCGGGGGATCATCGAACTTAGTTGCATGGTGGTGGTATACGACGCGACGCTCAATAATGTTTATAGGTCTCCTCATGACGTTTGCGGATGCTGGGCGGTCTCAGGTTCGCGTGACGGGTCCATCTGGGCTTTTACATCTCATCGCGAGCATGCGAAGGTATACGTACCGGTATGTTACTCTCCGATGATTGGAACTACATCTGCTGAGTTTTTCCCAAAGTGAGAACTTGGATGTCACGCCCTCCGAAGTTCGCCTTGTCTCAGATGATCAACCCGTGTACAAGGACGAAAACATAACCGTGTTTGCTCTGCCTATCAACCCAACACCAGAACAATCTCAGAATGACGGGCATTCTAAGGTGCTATTGAAGAGAAAACGAGACACCTCTCCGGAGCGACCAGCAAAGCGAGGTTCTAATAATCAAGGCAGAACAACTCCCGAACCCGAACCACCTCTTTCGATAGAGCAGTTGATGGAAAGATCGGATTTTGATCCAACTTCGTTGAAAGGAGAGAGGGCTCAGGCGTGGCGGCGACATGTCGTGAAGCTTATGTTCCCCGCGACTCAAGTTCCCCAGTCCATCGACAACGGTGACAAAAACCAAAAAGGTAAACGGAGAGGAAAGGACAAGGACAGTAACGCAATCAAGCCTAGTCCAGACGAGCCTCCAAATACTGCATACGTCCAGCAACCTCCCGGTCTCAAACGTCCCCTTCCCATACCAGATCATTCTTCAGTTGGTTCCCCTGATCAATGCTTGAGACCCACTCTTGCATACGCTATACAAGGACCTCGCATGCGGGGCAAGTTCGATGCACAAAAGGCTGAGGCTCTGGGCCTCAAACATGGGCCATTGCGCGCAGTGTTGGCTCGAGGACAGACCGTCACCGTCCAAGTCGATGACGGTCATGGTAATCTCGTCCATCGCGAAATAAAACCTTCGGATTGTATAGCAGAAGGCACGCTTCCCGGAGTAGGTGTGCATTTTACCCTTTATTTCACCTTAATTTAAGGGTCGTAGGTTGTGTTGCTGCTTGATACGCCAACGCTAGCGCATATTCCAAGTCTCCTAGCTGGATTTGCTGATGGTGGTCCGTTTTCCAAGTACCGACAGCTTAACTCAAAGGACCATGTTGTACGGGTGATTCATCACCTCTGCGGGGATGGGGTTCTTGAAGATGAACGATATAGGTCTTTCATGAACGAGTTTGGACCTGACGTACACGTGAGTGGATAACGAGTCGTCGTGATCCTTTCCTTACTCTGCTTAGCATCTGGTTGCTTCGCGCAGATACTTACCAGATCCGGTCACCTTCACCAGTGCAGCTTACAGTCAATTGCGGCTGAACCAACTTGATTCGGATGTATTTCCTATACCAAAATTCACTTTGAGCGCGGAGAGGCCCTTAGAGGGTAAGCCCATAAGCACTTTTGCTTTACCCATTTGTGAAACCTCGCTGACGAACCTGTGAAGGTGTAGCAGGGCTACCTGCTGGGACACTTGCTATGCAAGCGGGTTTATCTGCATCCATTCACCCCCTGCGACCGCCGGCGCAGGATGAGAACGCTCGAAAACTCGACCTCTTCCATCCGGCTGTTCGCTCTGACTCCTTGGTAAAACTCCCGGATTCAATTCTTTCTTCGTTTTCCTGGGCTCGGGCTGTTGTACGGTCTTTCGCTAGCGATCCCGAGGCGGGTAAAATACTAGGTAAAGACGTGTTGGTCTGCACGCTGGGCACTGGCAGTGCCATACCAAGTAAATTTAGAAATGGTGAGTCGGCCGTTGCCAACTTATACTCGATGTATGTATATCTAACAACGGGTAGTCTCCGCTACACTTATTCATATCCCAAAACATGGCTACCTTCTTCTTGACGCGGGTGAGGGAACTTGGGGTCAGCTTGTGCGCAAGTACGGAAGAGACCCATCGTCATCTTCCAATGTATGGCAGATGTTGCGCGAGCTCAAGTGCATATTTATAAGTCATATTCATGGAGATCATCACATCGGACTTCCTAAACTATTGGCGATGCGACAACGCGTAAGTAGATTGATATTGGCGAGCGAAGGTTTTTCGCAGCTGACTCTCTCCACGTAGTTGGATCCACCCGCAAAGGAGCCCTTGTATCTGGTTGCCAACCACACCGTCTTCCAGTATCTGCGTGATTATGACGGCCTCGAGACGCTCGGGCTTCAAAGTGGCTCTAACAATCCCGTCGTATTGATACCAGTGGATGCTCTCCACTGGTTAAAGTCGTCTCATTCAGAGGGATCGAGCCGCAACGCTTCCCGTTCATGGTGAATCGTTTTGCTCCACCACTACCGTCAATGCACATTTAACAGTATGAACAGGTACGCGGCTACCCATGCAGATCTGTGCGCGTCCCTTGGACTGCGAAGCCTGCAGACAGTTGACGTAGAGCACCGTACGTTGTGCCATGGGTTGATCATCAAACATGCTGATGACTGGAGCATCGTGTAAGTCTCGCTGTTACCACGTCATCACCTCGCAAGCCTCTCATTTGGCAAGGTAGGTATTCCGGAGATACTGTTCCCGTAGACCGACTAGTACAAGCGGGTCAGAATGCGACACTTCTCATTCATGAAGCGACGATGGCAGATGATGAAGCAGAAAAGGCTCGAGCTAAGATGCATAGCACTGTCGGTCAGGCTATCGACATCGGGAAAAAGTATGGTTCATCCCGAAATATGCTTTCTATGTTCAAGCTGACATGTTGAGAATAGGATGAATGCTCACAGCACTCTCCTGACCCACTTCTCAGCAAGATATCCAACGATGCCACAGTCCATGCTCATGAACTATGAGCCTGGAGAGCCGATCGTCGCGCTCGCCTTTGATCATGCGAACGTCCGCATCGGCGATATGCGGAAGATGCACGCTTACATGCCCGCTATAGAACAAAACTTTACCGAACTGGACGATGACGACGCTACTGCGCAGGTGGCGGAAGTCGACATCACATGAACCATGACGATTATCATTCAATATTATAGTAAAACCTAGGAGCTACTGCATAATGATTCTAGAGATGCAATCACACCGCGCGCTATTTCCTCGCCGCTCTTATCCCAGGAACCTTTCCGCCGGTCTCTGGAATCCCGAGAGGCCAAGGAAGTTGTTCCTTCATTTAGAGAAGTCATTGTCTGCTTATATGAATCGAGGAACGCGTGGCAGTGGCATATCAATGATCTGAGCTTGGCAGACGATGATTCGGCAGATAGCGCAGCCAAGACGACGTCGAGGCTCGCTTTGTTACCTTTGATTAGTATGCCCAGAAGGACTGCTGTATAACCACGAAGGAAGACATTCTCTGGTGGACTGTCCTCATGTGTTGACGTGTGTTGGACGTAGAGTGCCGTGAGACAGCGCAGGATGGACTGCCTCTCTGAACACTGACACGCCCGGATACAAGGCCGGTTTCCAGGGCAAGAAGGATCGATCGCTGTCAGAATGGCGAGTAGGCAAATGGGTGATTCAAGCAAGATAGGCTTACACTGCTCTCTGCAAAGACCGGACACCTTTTCACTCATGGTGGCCCAGTTCATCAATAGGCCCAGTGCAAGGCATAGAAGGTCAAAGGTTTCACCACCAGGGTGTTGATCTCCGTTCTCTAGCCATTTTGATTGAGACTGGATAGCCACCAAAGCTACAAAGGGAAGAGAATACTCTTCCACGAGTGTCGCCTCACACCACGATAGGTCCCCATGCGAGAGCAGAGTGAGCACGCGTAACGCTCCGCACAAACATTTCCACGCTCCCGCTCCACGTCAACCTAGCGACACGAAGGGAATCAAAAGCACTCACCTAGAATACGTTGGTCTTCATTCTCGCTTTCGCGTAGCTGTACCTGAGATAGAACGCAAAGAGACAGAAACTTTGAAGCCAGCTCATCAGCGCATGCCACGCGAAAGACTGCGGCTCGATCATCCTCCAAGTTTGCTGTTGACCACTGTCCTAGTAGGAAAGAGTCCACGAGGCGCAAACACGATTCCAGGTGTTCGAGGGATAGAGCTGCAGAGCATAGTTCACTTGGAACAGGTAGTAGGGGCAATCCAGATAGATAGGCTGTAATGCGGGGTCCTACCAGGCTGAGCTCAGCCTCCAGGCTAGCGAGTATGGGATCCAAGTGTCGAGCAGCAAGAGTAGCAGGGAGCATAGCTAGTGTGTGGGAGACCAAGGTACGAACGGAAGGCTGAGAAAGGTCCAATGAAAGACATTCCAGCATACAGTCCAGTTATATGCACACCTGGGACTCTGATCCCTCATGCAATTCCTCCGATACCATGCCTGATAGATTTTTCAACTACACGCGACAGTTATTCATCCACGACGTGGACATGCCGGGAAAGTGAATACCCACAACAAGAATCTCTGACCTTGAAATCCCACATGCTTTGAAGTCCGTTACATGCGCGTTCGCGGCAGCAAGAGAAAGTACGTCCGTCTTGTCACGAAGCGAAACAAGAATGTCAACAAGCGTATCGGCAAAATCGGGACGTCGTGATAAATCTCCGAGGGTATGCGGGTCCCTAGAAGACAAAGCCGCAAAGAATGATAAAATGGCATCGAATATCTAAGTACGACTTCAGGAAGCAACTATAAGCGAGAGGATTCGCCACCTACTTTGTCACTCACTCCACCCCGTGATATCGACAACTTGTCCCATGTTAGTACGTAAAAATCGAACGCCTTGGCCCGTCTGTTAAAGTCGGGGTCACAAAGCTTGTTGACTATCTCGAGAGCGCTTCATTCAATGTATATGAACGAAAATCGAGTTGAGGGGAACGAGCGAGCTTACCTCGTCCGCCGCAATGCCATCGCGCTAGACATCTCAAGACCCTCGAAAAGATATCCCACCTCATCCATAAACCGTCTACTTTCACCCTTATTTCTTAACTCCGTTATGCTTTTGAGATCGTTCGGCGCTCCATTAGAGTTGTGACCGAGGGATGTTTGAAACGAGGCGCTCGAAGTGCGCTTCAGCCTTCGGGACGGGGAAGAAGCCGGTTCAAACGGAAGGGGATCATCCTCAGATTTATCTACTCCCCAACGGTTGCGGAGGTCTGTATATGATTCCTGTGACATATCCTCCTGAGTTTGATCGTGGAGGTTGTCCAAGTCCAAGCTGGATATTGGGAGGTTCACCAGGAAAGATCGGGATGGCCCCGCATATGTCTTCATAGGTCTAAGTGGCTGCTGTTTCGAGGGTGACTGCGCGAGATCGTCTGGAGTGGCCTGTCTCTTACGTGTTGGAGTGGAGGACTGGAGTCGGCCTTTCACTTGAGACGAATCCGGGATAGGTGCTGACACAAGCCAATCGATCTGTAAGAATCGGCCTCACACGGAAAACCCTGAAATACTCACTCTGCGGGCGTTTACTGGGACTACCATCTGGTGTGGCCGTGAGCGGACTGGCTTCCACAGTAATCTTGCGTCGCTTCCGTCGACCCGGTGACGGTGAGTCGTTGTCATCGGTGTCGGTTGGGGTTTCAGTTTCAGGTAGTCGGGGTTCTCGTGTTGTTCTTCGTCCTTTCCGGCCATAGACACGCTGCATGACCGACTGCCTGACAGTGTCAGTAATAGTAAATGCTGGAGGTGGATCACCGCACAAAGTTGTATTGCTGACATAATGCCACCAGCCTCTCTTACTGGGTGACATTAATCTACGTACAAACTCTATCAATGTAATAACCTTGCCGAAGTACCTAAACCATAGAGAAATGCAGGAAGGAATGGTTATTCTATTGATGTTTAGCCGGAAAACTACGTAGTGGCATGTGAATGACTATAGCATGGAGATTGATAGGTGTCCCGTTAGATGGTCATGCAAATTTTATACCAGAGGGCCTGCCACTTCTACGGCTATCGGTTGGAGTCGCCCACAGCGTGAAGGAGAAGATCTCATCTGGGTGGAGGTAAGGGGGGGATAAGACGGTAGCCAGAACGCAGAACTCTATGGGGATGCATTTAGGAGACAAAGCTTGGGTCATGTACTGTGGAGGGGTGACAATAAAGTTGGTAGGCTCAATGATGATCGTTGTCGACACCACCAGCGGATGTAATCATAGCACGTCGGTACGTGGTTCAGATCTTGACCCTGTGATTGTGTGGGCGGCTTGGTTAGGTAACTTGTGCCCCTCATGCCAATACTAGGATGGGTTAGACTTGTTACTTGCGGATTTCCTAACTGCACGGCAGAGTATTGTGGAAGAATGTTTTTGGAAACCAGATCCTCGAGGGAGGAGCTGGGGAAGCCCCACTGTGCTGCGGTGTCCGGTGTGAAGGACGGGGCGAGTACGGAAATACAAAGCCGCCGAGAAGATCGGTAGTACGTTTCACCAGACATAACTAGTGAACCTATCGAGCTGGCTTGGTACCGCGGAGAGTATGGGAAGAGGTCCCCTGGCATTGCTATGAGCAATCGAAGATAGCAAGGAAGGACCGTTGGTCGAGTCTTTCCCTCGCCGATGCATCACCGGGACTCGGTCAGACGACGAGAAGAATGGGACGGTCTAACAGGAACTTGATGGTCGTAGTTCACACATGGGCCAGGCTGTGCACCACAGATAGGCACGTTGATTCAATACCACCCGAATCCGCAGTCGTTTGCCCTTCGCACTTCACCACCATCCTCCCCTATAGTCGTAGCACACTTACTGTTCAAGACATCCTAAGAGTTGTTTTCTCGTTTTCACATCGCCATGGCACCGAGCTCTCTTCGTTCCTCGTGGCATTCGCTGCGGCGTTCTCAACGTTCGAGTGACGATGCTGGTGTGTTACTAGTTTCCATTCCCACTGAAGCCATTTCTTCATATTGCCCTGCACACAATCGTCTTTACGCGGGTTTCAGAATATCACTTAGATCCTGCCGAGGCCAAAAAGCAGATTGATCGCATTCCTCGTTTTCGCATTCTTGTCATGGGCAGAGCAAATGCGGGTAAAACAACTGTTTTATAGCGGGTCTGTAACACTACGGATCAGCCAGAGATCTTCAATGGAAAAGGAGAGAAGGTATGTGGGTGTGTTATGTGCTTCGTATTTGTCAACATGTCATTCTGCCAGGTTGATACTGGGGACGTGCAGGGTTCACTGGCGGTGAGGCCACCACGTGAAATTACATGGTGCTCACGTCAAACTTATGCAGCGTGGCTACCATAACATTGAGGATGAACTAGTGTTTAAAAGTAACCTGCGCTATGTGTTCCATGACTCATGTGGATTTGAGGCGGGGAGCGAGGTAGAGGTTTGATAAGATGAAGAAATTTGTTACAGATCAAGCAAAGTCGACCAAACTGGAGAACAAAATACATGCAATTTGGTAGGATGATGTCTGACTAATGGCACCAGGAGTCCACTGACCTGGCCTTTGTGATTGATTTAGGTATTGCATTCCTTTGAATGAAAGCCATAGGATGGTCATGGCTGCTGAAAGGAAGTTCTTTAATGAGTGTAATTCAGGACATGGTATGTGTACACAAATGTCACATCATACTTGGTGCAAGGATTTAGGATGTGCACAGTTCCTGTGATTGTGCTACTAACAAATGCAGACACCTTAGATCTTGATGCAGTGCAGGAGCTTATGGAAAGGGGATTAACTGCAATGAAAGAGGTGCCAGAGGTAGAAAAACAGTTGCAAAAGGGCTGTCTGGAAAAGATCAAAGGGTGGCTGAATGAGATGAAGTTTCCACCTCAAAACTACCTTATGCTCACTGGTGAGTAAGTTATGAATACAAAAATAGCATATTAACATATGTCTCTTCAGGCATGGAACAAGAGAGTGCAAATTGTGAAGAGCTATTGAAATGCATAGCAAATGCTTTAACAGAGGAAGGGCTGCAAGGACTGCTTATATCATCTCAGCAGTCAAACTTAGGACTATGCATGGAATTTGCCATAATGAAGTGAGTGGCAAAAATTGAGTTCTACAGGGTGCTGAGTACAGAAAGGACATTGAAAGGGTATATGAACAGGGGGGTTGATCAGAAGGAGTTAGCATGGAGGCTTGCAGCATGGTTCCCATTTGTAAGCAATCAGTGGTTTGGAGGAATGAGAGGCTAATTAGGTTATAGGAGGTGTGTGAGAATCTGTGAGTGCAAGTATAACTGATGCTGAAGGTGATTGTTGCTGTTGGGTTTGACTGTGATTCACAGAATGTAAGTTTACACCTTGAAGATCATGGTGGATGCATGCTAACATGTTCACTCCCACCCTGTTGGACTGGGGTTCATAGTTTGTGAGTGGAGTCCTGGTAGATGGTGGTGGATGCATGCTGACATGTCCACTCCCACCCTGGTGAACTGGGGTTCATAGGAGGTGAGTGGAGTCATGGCAGATGGTGGTGCATGCATACTGACATGTTCACTCCCACCCTGTTGGACTGGGGTTCACAGGAGGTGAGTGGAGTCATGGCACATGGTGGTGGATGCATGCTGACATATTCACTCCTACCCTGTTGGCCTGGGGGTTCATAGCTTGTGAGTGGAGTCATGGCAGATGGTGGTGCATGCAACCTGATTATATTCACCACTGCTTTGCCTGACTTGCATGCATAGAATGTGAGTTAATGGATGAAAAATGGTGGCCATGGATGGTTGCTGAATGTGGTTTTTTCTCCCACCCCATTGCATTTACATTCATAGGATGTGAGTGATGTTGTGGCAGCATTTGGTGGAGGAAAATATATATACTCACAATCATCATCCCTTCAATTTTGGCCTTTGGGTCTTAGAGAGTGAGTGTTGTGGACATTGCCCATTTAGCATTCTTTTCACAAGCTCTTCTCATCCAATAGATGGTGAGCTTGATCACTGCATATATCTCTAAAATATTGCTGAGACATTGTGTTAGGATGCAGGTGCAATCTTCCCATGGAGTATGCCTTTTTTGCCTTTTTCTTATTTCTCCTCTTGAATATTTCTCAGCATGTCAGTTCTCATAATTCCTCTAAAATCCTGACAAAGTTTAGCCTATTACCAGAATGTATGGTTTTGTTCCACATCCCACAATCATTCATTACCCATGTGTTTTCAGTTGGTTTGTCACTCTTTTTCCTACTTTAACATTGGTTCCTGTTTTACCCTTGATATCTGGTCAGGTGGTATGTTCCAATTCCTTTTTCTTTTCCTAACAGTCTATGATGTGTTGAATTGGTTGGTTATAGCAACCCATCGAACATGGAAGCAGTTTCATTTCCATCCCTACATTGTCCATGTCAAGGCAGCCTTCCCTGATGGCACTTGCAGAACATGGCATTGGTAAATTATTGCTCTTGATCCTGCTTCATTCTGAAGCTCATGATTACAGGTTGTGTAATTGTTTTTGAATACTTATTTTTCCAGTTGCAGGTCACGGATGGAGGTACTACAAGGCAGGATGTGCAGCAGGATCTGACAGTGATTGTCAGAACATATCAAAAATCAGGTGTCCAAAATACTGTTATTGCATGCATTGCAGAAGCCTTCCAGCAGCATGGTGAAAGTGTGGATGATTTATGTGCCATGCTTGTGGGTATAGCACAGGCAAACCAGATGTGTAAGACATATTTTTACCCCAATGATGGAAGTCCTATTTAAACTGTCCACAGCAAAGAAATTCCTAAAATGAAAAAAAAGATAATTTCAACTCTTATGCACTTCACTATTCTTGGTAAGTCCCTTGGTTCCCATCTGCCAACCAGTATGAAGATCAGATTTACAGCATCTTGATTCCTACCAGAGTCTTTTTTGAAATCTCAATCTCCTATTGCTTGGGAAAATCCTGTGAAATATGGAATCTGCTTGTTATTTGTATACATTCATGTCCTCTCGTATAGTCCTGTGCAACCTTCAAATTTGAGACCTGATTTCTTGCCATCAGAAGTTGGGAATTTGTGCTGCCTTTATATAACCCCATATAGATTGCTGGAATCTGGTAATCTATACAACAATCTCCAAAGTCCCATATACATCCAAACTGCCACCACAATTTTACATTTCTCACAAATGTGTCCAGTGGTATTATCCTTTGAATCCCAAAACATCCATGTGCATAATGTTGTTAGTGGATATGCTCACCATTTATGGAGTGATTTTTTTGAGATGTTCTCAGCAAACCAACTGTTGATAAAGCCAGAAGGCCAACAAAGTCTATGTATGGTTACAAAGAAGAGTAGTATGCTGGGGTATGGGATCATTGCTTATTGTCAATTTGTATGGCATGTTCAATATCCAATCTACACCACAACATGCCTAGTGTGAGGTTGTGAGGGTTTATCTCAAGCTTCCATGTGTGAAGCATACTATATGGTATTCCCACTGTTGTAAGACACATGGATAAAACTTATTTACAATATTTTCCAAGCTTTGTATACATGAAACATTGTTTGCACTGAATGCCACAACCCCAAGATGACTACTTGTTCAGGAGGAAATTATAGCAGGGACTACCACTCAATAATTATGAGTATCTTTCAAGCTTGCTGAATATCAGCTGAGCACTCAACAATCAAGGAAATCCTTGAAGAGGTATGCTGCATGAAAATGGTGCAGAAGGCCATAAGCATGCATATGAGAATGAGCCATGCTGGCTTTGGAAGGAAACCTCCAAGGGATGAAGTGGTTCACACCCACACAGAAAGAGGAGTGATCAACACTCTTCATCTAATGAAAACTTCATATACATAAAGAAAGGGGATACAATTTATTGAAGAAAGATAGATCTTCCAATGAAGAGCAACAGATACCTGAGGAAGGATGGTGCAGACCATCAATCTTGTCAATGAGAACAGGATCACCTGTATGGTAAGGGGAAACAACCCCAGAAGTTCCTAGCAGGGATCACCTGCTTCAATTGCAACAAGGAGGGTGTTTTGGCTCCTGATTTCCTCCTTCCTCAAAGGATAAAGGCAAAAGTGCAGCAAAGTTGTAACTGTTCACAGTCATTGTCCAAGAGGACACACAGTATGAGCATACTTGCAAGGAGGATAAGCTAGAAGAAGAAAAATTGGGTGAGCCTGACAAGGAAGAATTGGTACAAGTATATGAGGAAAATGTGGGTGTTAACCCCAAGGATATGGAGAAATCAGATATTGACAACATCCCAAACACCTTCAAGACATATTATAAGGTGAACAAGGATGACAAGCCTGTAGCTGACTTTGGCACAATGCATCACAAAGCATATAGTGTAGTCAAACTTAGTCACAACATATGGGTAGCCTGCACACCAAAACACCATTACTCATGTAGAGCCTGGTGCAGGACCATCAAAATAATTTAGCCACAGCACATAAATGGGCCTGTGGGCCCAGAGTGACAGTAACATATGAACAGGCCTGTGAGTGGGTGATAACAATATATGGGTGGGGCTTGTGAGTTAAGGATATCACAACACATAGACAGGCCTGTCCTACCTATCATGGATAATGATGCAATGAATGGATTGGCCTGTCCATAGCATGATCTGCCCTTCCACAACATAAAGGTGGGCCTGTCCCTGGCATAATCTACCCTGCCATGACATAAAAACAGGCCCATCCCTCCTATCTTGGATGATGAAACAACATATGGACAGGCCTGTCCATGGCATGATTCACCCTGCCACAACATGAAGGCAGGCTTTAGACTGTCAGCTCAAGTCTTAGAACCCCACACTTGAGCTGCTCAATCATATGCAGCATTCCTCAGAACTTCACCCTCAGTGTCCCTTGCAAGGACCACTCTTACTAGCATTGAAAAATCCTCTGTTGTTTACAGGGGTTACTGATGCCATTTGCTCAGTAGAAACCTTAGTCTGTGACTGAGCTCAACCTATGCTTCAACTTCAGTTTTAGTGTAACAAGTCTCCACAGCCTTTGGGCAAAGGTCACTGTTTAGTGAACCACCAAAACCCCCTAAAATAACTGTCATTGGGTGCTGACATGACCCACATGAGAAGAAACCTCTTCTGAGGACAAACAAGAGAGCACTGTCACTGACACCTCCTTGAATGAACCTGAACATCTGGATAGAGGCTTTACCTCTGGTATCCTCTTGAACCTCCTTTCCCAATCTCTTGCTTCACTCAGTACTCCCATCCCACCAGTACCTGCCCCTACTCCTGTACATCTGCTCTCACCCCAGAATATGATGTCCAGATCATTGTCAAAGGCCTTGGCCAACATTGCCACTAAGGCAGCTGAATTGAAGATCAGTGCTCCACCTGATTTTGATGGAGATCAGAAGATAATGATGAGCTGGCTGTTTGCAGTCCAGACTTAATGGTCAACAATGAAATCTACAACACAGACACCAAGCAGGTTGTCTATGCCCTGTCATATATGAAGATGGGAGTTGCCCACTCCTGGGCAGCTACCTTCCAGAAGACATTCCTTGAGAAAAACCTGCCTAGCTTTGGGTCATTTATGGACTTCAAAACTGCATTCAAAGCCTCATTCACCCCTGCTGACTCTGCTGGAGCAGCTATCTCCAAGCTCTGGACCTTGAAACAAAAAGACTCTGTTGAGCAATACATCACTGAATCCCACACTGCCACTGCTGACTTGACCATCACAGATGATATTACCCTGATTGAGTTCTTCTCTCAGGGCCTCAAACCATTTATTACAAACCACATCTGCATGATGGATACCACTCCTACTAAGATTGATGAGTGGTACAAACATGTGCAGAAGTTCAATGCCAAATGGAGAAAAGTGAATGAACTGTTTGGAAAGAAGGATAAGAGGACCATCTACCCCCAAAATAACCTCTCAGAAGAAAAAGACCCAAATGCTATGGATGTGGATTGAGTGAGACTCTCCAAAGAAGAAAGAGACTGACACAATAAAGAAGGAAGATGTTTCAGATTGGAGAAAAAGGACATCTCTCTTGAGAATGTCCAAATAAGGGAAAGACTCCACAAAAGAAAGAAAAGAGGGTCAGGAAGATAGTAGAAGTTGAAGAAAGTGATGAAGAAGAAACTTTTGGACCATTGGTTGCTCTGGTAAACATTGCCAGACTCCTTGGGAAAGATTTTTAAAACAGAACTCTGAGTTGGTGCCAGAAGTTCCTGATAACAAGGATAGTACCTTTTCTGTTGCACCTGCATTAGTATCCTCCACTCTGAAATGTACCATGCAGATTCCCATTTCCATCTGTGCATCAGAAAAAACTAGGAAAGTCATCAACACCACTGCACTGGTTGACTCTGGAGCTGAGATATCCTGTATGGACTGGGGCTTTGTTTGAAAGAATAAAATCCCCATTCAGTGACTTGCCCAACCCCTTGTTGCCAGAAATGTGGAAGGATCCTTGAACTCAAAAGGAAAGATCATATTCTCTGTTAAACTTGTCTTCAAGATAAAAAAAATCACCAACAAGTCTTTCTTCCATGTGATAGACTGTGGAGCAGAAAATGTGGTCCTAGACCTTCCATGGCTACAGGAAAATAACCTTTCCATCAACTGGAGAATGGGAACTCTCTCCATTGACAAAAAAACTGATCAATCCAAAGAGTTCTCCTGAATGACCTCCCTGGCCACCATTGATGAACCATCAACAGTAAACCTCCTCTCCATTGATGAAAAAAGGAGTAAACTGCTTCTTGGACCACAAAGAACCAGAAGAGGAGACCAAACATGCCTATTTCACCATGGCAGTCACCTGATTGATCAAAGTGGCCAAGAAACTAAACCCTAACAACCACTATGTCAAAAAAATCACTACCACCATGGAACTAGCTTGGGCAGAAGAAAGGAAGAAGCCAAAACCAACCCTTCCCTCAGACTACCAAGAGTTTGCATCAGTTTTCAAGAAACCCTCTGGTGGAACACTTCCCCCATCATGACCTTATGACCATGCCATCAACCTTTTAGAGGACTTCATCCCCAAAGTGGCAAAAGATTACCCACTCTCTCCCTCTGAAAGAGAGTCTGCAGAAAAATTTATCAAAGAAAACCTACAAGAGGGAAAGATTTGCCCTTCAAAGTCTCCTCAAGCAGCACCCTTCTTCTTTGTAGGAAAGAAAGATGGCTCTCTCTGACCATGCCAGGACTATAGGTACCTGAACAAGAATATAGTAAAAGATGCTTATCCCCTTCCCCTAATCTCCAATTTGGTCAACAAGCTGAAAGGAGCATCCATTTTCACCAAGATGAACATCTGTTCAGGATACAATAATGTCTACATTAAAGATGGAGACCAATGGAAGGCAGCATTCATCACATACAAAGGCTTCTTTGAACCCCATGGTAATGTTCTTCAGGTTGTGTAACTTCCCTACCACATTCCAGTGATTCATGAATGACTCTTTCTGAGACATGATTGCTGAGGGATGACTGGTTGTCTATATGGATGACCTCCCCATCTTCTCCACCAACCCTGAAGAACACAAACAAAGAACTCATCCCATCTTAGAATGAATCAGGGAACTCTCCCTCCCCCTCAAGCTAGAAACATGTCACTTTGATCTTACTGAGGTATTCTACCTCAGTAAGATCATCAAGGAAAACACTGTCATCATAGACCCAGTCAAAGTCCAAGGCATTGCTGAATGGCCAGTCCCTAAAGAGGTCAAAGACATATGATCCTTCTTAGGATTCACAAACTTCTATTGAAGATTCATCCCTTACTACTTGGACATTGCCAGACTGCTAATTGACTTGACCAAGAAAACCATCTCTTGGGAAT